TGTATACGAGATAGTGTCCCTTAGAAATTCCTCCACGAAAACATCTCTTCCCTTAGGCAGATAGCCCTCGAGTGCTTGGCAGTAATCGAATAAGACAAAGACATTTCTAAGTTTGCTTCATTACAGACACACTCACATGGATACATGCATTTATATATTCATAATGCGTGTATATATATAATGCATGTATGTATATATATATATACTGGTATATACATATACTGGTCATCAAGATTAAAGGATAATGGCAGAAATAAAACGTAACTGATACTTAATGAAAAAGTATTAATAGAAATCTGTACAAAAGCGTTAGTTAACATAAATTACTATGTTTAGTAGTTAATTATTAACAAAATATTGAAATTAAAATCAAATTTATGGAAATTGGAAAATCACAGAAACGTTAAGTCACCTCGGACAGATATGCATAACTCACAGCTTGATTTCGCATACTTCACCAAGGTGTTAAGTCTTGTGGAATTGCACTCCACTCTTCTAAACGTGCACTTTTCAATTCCTAGAGGGTCTAGGGAGGAATTTGACCGCGGAAATTTGGTGCCCTAAGGCACCCCACACATGCTCAACCAAGTTCAAGTCGGATGAGTAAGATTGTCAATCCATTCGAGTGATATCCTTTGTTTGCAAGTATTCTGACACCACGTATGCTCGTTAAGGCCGTGAATTGTCATAAATTAGCAAAACCTCTGAACTTAGTCTGAAGTCTAACTTGGAGTTCCAGTACCTCGTCCACATATCTCCGAGCGGCTATAGAACCTCCTTGAAAGATGTGCAGCTCCAGTGCGGCCTTCCAGATGATTTCATGATTCCTCCCAAAACCATTAAACCGCGGTAACGGAAATTGGATTTTCCACTGACAAGGGAAGGCAAGTTGCGTGTCCTTTCGTGCTCTTTCCTCTTCCCAGAACAAAACACGTCTAAATCACTGTTCAATCTAGACCCGCCAGTAAACAACACTCGGGTCCAGTCGTTTTGCTTCCATTGAACAAAACAACGGCCCCAGTTTAAATGGGCCCCTGTGGATGTTAAAGTGAGTAAGACACAAACCATTGTTATTCTGAAGTACAAGCCCAATGTCGTTAAGCCTTCGCGTAGCAGTAGAATGGCTAATTCGTGTTTCTATGGCAGCCTAAAGCTTTAAAACCAAATCTGTTGTTGTCGCTTTGCAGTTTCTTATAGCTACAAAGACAGAGACGGTCTTCTGATGCAGTTTTTGCTCTTAGTCGCCTTTTACCGCTTGGACGTCTCTGTCTGTTAACTGACTCAGTGCTTAAAAAGCGGCTCCAAACACTTGATATGATACTTTGAGCGATATATAAATCTTGAGTGATCTCCATTTGTGTTTGACCTACCTCGATTCTACCAATTATTCGACACTTTCGATCTTTTGTTTTATCACAATGCGAGAAACATACATACATTTATGCAGATTCTTCATTATTTAATTTTGTAATTATAACGAAAAGCGATAATATTTAGTGGCAACAATTTGAAAAGTGAAACGGACATTTAAAATTTTCGACACAAAATGCCAAAATGAAATTAATAGCACTTCTGGGCTAATAAAGAAAGAAAATATTTAAATAAATCTTTTTAATTTAAAAAATGGAAGAACCAAAGAAGCAGACTGCAAAACACAACGTTTAAAACTTAAACTGATAGGCTAAAATCCGGAACGAAACGTTACTGTCTTGAATCCGTTTGTTTTCAAGAGAATGGGCGTATTCAACACAACTAATTACGTTAAAATATAGGAAATTCACTGACTTATTTCTAAAAGAAGTGGGATGTCTACAATATTTAATTACAATTCAATCAATTAATTCATTGAAGTATAATTAAATTATAATTTATTTATAATTCAATAAATATACATACTCCATTCCCAACGTAAGTTTGATCTTCTGAAACAATACTTATAAATAGTTGCAGAATATGCAGGGTGCGGCAGCGTACATAGCGTAATTTAACTTACATAGTACAATGACGTACTGCATGAATGCGCTCCAGCTCGTGCCGCATTCGTGTACTAATGAGCTGCCATTTCGAGTGTGACAGTTATATGGATCGGTGGAGTGCACAGCATTGTGCCTTTCCTGTTGAAAGTTATTTCAAAAATAAGTACTCTGTTATTGCTACCCAGCGTCTATTTCGGCAACATTTCAACTTGGGACGTCATGGGAAAGTTCCAGATGGACGGACCATTTTCACGTAGAGTAATTTCCCGTTTTGGTGACATTTCCTGGCCACCTCTCTCACCTGATCTTTCATGTGCAGACGTTTTCCTTTGAGGCCACCTGAAGCAAGAAGTTTCCCGAACATGTTGTGCCACCATTCCTGAGTTGAAGGATCGCATCAGAACTGCCGTCGGCAGTGTCCCAGGGAATACGTTACGCTGAGTTATGGCAAGCTCCCAACGCCGCCTAGATGAATGTGTTGTGCAGAGGGGCATCATTTGACAGGCATCATATTCAAAAAGTAATCCACGCAATGGGCAATGTCTTACACATTAATAAATGGCATACCTTTAACTATTAATTGACATAAGAGGTAATAAATAAATTACAGTTCCTGCCTTATGTGTGTTTTTAACATCCTATTATGAACGCTGCCGCACCCTGTACAATGCAGAGGCAAACGATATAATTTTTAATTTGGATTCAATAAAGTATTAAATTATAAGTACTTAAATTTTATTCAGGAGAAAAGTGTTAATGTTCAGAACTTGAAAAAAGATAAATTTTGAAACCTTTATTTTTTAATGTGAGAAATGGGAAAACAATTTTTGAAAAATACTGCATACAAGAAAATTTTTAGATAAAAAATAAAATTAAAAAATTGATAGGGCATCCCATCAGTTCCATATTAAGACAGGAATAGCAACAAGATTTACGTAAAGTAGTCTTTCGGTTTGATCGTTTGTAAATAAGCTTTAATTTGGTAATAAACGTATAGTTCAGTTTTAATTATAAAACACTAATAATTTTTTATTATTCCCGTCTACCATAAAATGAACAATGATAACTATATATGCTCATACACATATCCATTCTTATGCTTTCATTTGAAATATTGCATCGATAATAGTATATCATCTGATCATACAGTGCATCGGATTCACTAATCACAATCAATTAGCACAAATCACAATTCACTTAACAATCACAAAATTGAGTTTTTATAGGTAACATATTTTTAGAATTCCCGATAGAGATTTAAGGGTTTATGATGTTCAGTGTTCGATTTTCTTAATAAGAAGACCGGCCGTTTTACTTGTCATTCTCGTTGCATTCATTAAAAATTACTTTCATCATATTTGCCCCTCATAAAATTCAACAACAAAATAATAAAATCTTTAATATAAGCATAAATTTAGAATTCCCAATAGAATATTCACTGTTGTTAATTAATAATACATACCTTTTTTATATTCGCTATATTATTTTTACTTGCTATGTTAGTTTTTTGAAAATAATACACAACAATAACATTTGGTGATTTCCTTCTTTTACTTGAAAAGTGATTCAACATAAAAGTGAAAATAACACAAAATTGAGGATTGAGGATAATAATGTTTAAATTAGCTCATGACAAGAGCTCGTTTAAGTAATGAGCTTATTCTCGTTGCATTTACCATACTTCAAGGATACGTTTAATGCTTATGCGTCTGTATGTTAAACATGCTAGTTTAAAATACCATATTTGAGAAGTTTTAGATTATCCATTTTAGCCAAAATCTCATGTATTGTACCCATTGATATAAAAGTCTTAAATGTTAAAATTAAAAAAAAATTGGATTACATTTTAATACAGATTTTTTTACTAAAACCTAGAATTTACATAAAAAACTGGGCTTTAAGTAAAGTACCTCTTCAGATTGTCAATAAAGACTGTTACGGCTTCACGTGAAGTGCCACTTCCAGTTGTTCAGTTTTACCCAAAATCTAATCAACTCTTTATATAAATGTAGTAAGCTTAAAAAGAAAAATACAAATTTTTGAAAATTTTATATAATAGTTATTGTGGACTATACAATCATCATATACATACACACAGACCTCATTGTAAAAATAGTCAAACGTTTTTCTGAATCCTAATTTGTGCTTATTCACTGAAAATTCACTATCGAAATTTTGACTGAAAACGTTACCTCCCTTTTCTATGTATACAGGTTGGCGGGAGATAAGTACAATTTTTTCACAGTTAAAACACATACATATTGAAATATACATATTCTATATACATATTGAAATCGAAATAAATCTCCTAATACTTGCGCAATAGCTGCAAAGTAAGATAATAATAATTTATTTACTAAATTTAGATTGATTATATTATCTGCTAAAATAAATTTAGTAGAATGTATGTAAATGAAGTAATTCAAAAGTATGAAATTTTATGCATGAGTATGAAAGTAAAAAATGATTAAATGTCATACTTCTGGATTACTTCATTTAGATATATTCTACTAAATTTATTTTAGGAGATAATATAATCAATCTTACTTTAGTAAATAAATTATATATATATGTGCGTGTGTATATGCACAAACATTTCATGCATATATATTTTCTGTAGCTATTAACATCACTAGTAAAAGTGAAATATATTTAGTCTGTTGCTTCATTAAACTTGAAAAGAACTAATTAAATTTCCAGTCATTAAACATAAAATGTGAAATCAAAGTTATGATCTTTTGCACTTACATCCACTAAATGGATTATATTATCTCTATAAGAACAGAAATCTTTTCATGTAGCTTCTTGTTAATTATTATACCAAACGTAAATGAACAGAAAGAAATTCAAGTGTTAGGTTTAAAACTTCTTCATTGACATTTACAAATAATTGTTCTGCACTGTATGCATATGCTAGGAAATAAAATACGATTCCCATGAGATTCCAGAAGTATTAAATTTTCTTCATGTCTAGTAGTTAAACTTTAAAGTTCCCGATTTTAATACTTTGCATTCTCTTCCTAGCTCGAAAAATCAAACAGCAGTCACGTCTTTCTTGCGTCAACGGATCTGAATTCAGAAGGACTTTATGGCTGTGAAGTGTCTGGAGAAGCACCTTCATTCAGTACAGCTAAATCGGAAGACGAAATGCGAGTTTATGGTAAGTTCTTACACTTGATTTACAGCCACGTAATGTTAAAATAGTGAATACTCGCAGTTTTGAAACAAATTTTAGTGTGCAGTAGAAGTAATCAAGTGACAGTAGGTTATAAAATGCAAGAATATCCCCCAAAAAAGCAATACCCAGTTCAAAGAACAAGCGACTGCTTCTCTACCGATTGCCATAATTTCCATCTTTGAATTTTAATTTGTTTCTAAGCTATACGTTCTCAGTTTTGATTGATTTGTAGCACACTGTAATTATATTCATTTCTCTTTGCAGTACACTGTTTTATACTTTCTCTATTTTCCATATTATACTTTTGCTTCTGTCGCGGCACAGATCCAAAAACTCTCTACACATCGATTCAGAACCATGTCATGAAGGCAGAAGAATCATGTTAATTCAGCTTGGTATTGCTCTGAGTCGCTGGAGAACTATCTGAAAGCATTTTATTTAGTTTAAAGCTATTAGTGGGATAGTAAAGACTGACAGTGTTTCCTTATGTCATAATTTATAATATCATTTGTAAACTACATAGTTCGGAAACAGCGGTTGCCTGGTTGGTTAATTAACCACTGTTAAGGTAATCGAAGTACATATTAATAATGTTTTGTACTCAACGGCTGTAGTCACTAATTTTTTTATCTACCGTTTTGTTTGCTTGCTTTTTACGAAAAGTTGCATTAACTTCAGTCGTAATATATTACAAATGACCTATAATTTTCATCGCAATTTATTTTGAAATTGTTTGCACTTCTCAAGTGAAGAAAATTACTACGACGACTGAAATATCTTGCCCTCAGATTTACCCGTAAAGTATAATTAATTAACAAAATTTAAGTCAACACTCGATTGATAGGATATTTTTACTAGGAATGTCTGATAATTTCTAAGACAAGTATTAACCATTTAATACATTATAAAATATTTTTGCAAGACTTAAAATATTTTTATACTTAGATCCCGTGAACATCATTATATTCATTATACAGCTCATTCAGCTTGTAGGGTTTATATTTATTTTAACTAACATTTATTTTAAGTTTAAACTATCTTTCCTGTCAAGCCTTACTTTCCCCTGGAATTGCCAATGCCAGAGTATGTAAATTTTAGAACGCGCAAAGTATTCAGATTTTCAGCGGAAGTAAATTTGAGTTAAGTAGAAGAGAAACGAGTTCGAATGTGTGCTTTCTTGCTTCCCGAGCGTGAAGGTGGCTAGGTAGAAATTGAAGAACCGCGCGTTTTGGTCTGTGTGCTTGCCTCGGCAGATAGTTGAATCTTTCATTAGAGAGCCTCGTAGGTAGTAACTTGTTTATTATTCATTTTTAGTTTCTTATTTTTATTTTACCGCCGGGTCGGCGTAGTTTGTGAGCGTCAAGTGCACGCATCTGTAACTTCTAAAGTAGAATAAAAAGGGAGTTAAACCCTTCTTAAGAGTTTTGTGTACTTTCCAGTTCATAGCAGTCACTATTATTGTTGCGTGTAGGTTGGGGCCGCGCAACACCACAAGCTTTCTGATTTTTGAGAAGAGAATGTTACACATTCTTCAGACTAACGTCCAATAGCTTCCTTCACCTCTTCATCATAATCAAATCCATTTCCTCGCAGATGCATCTTTCCAGTGATGAATTCACGTCTCCCTTTCGCAGTCAACCCTTTAAAAGACGATACCGTCAAGATTTATCATGAATAACATTTCATGAGATGGTTCTATTTGATTTCTGTTCCATTTCAGATGTTAGAAATTTCGGAACCCATCGAGAATGCATCTTAGTCATTTGCATTCGTTCTAGATTCTCTTAACAGACGCGATACTAACATTTAGATCTGTCGCAAGTTAAGGCGCCATTGTATGCCTGTTATCAAAACTATGTATTTTCATTTTTCAGATAAATATTTTTCACAGGTAGTTTAAACTACACATCCTGAGCATGGGGCTTCTTCGAATAATGTCTGGCAATGTTCGAGCAAGGGTTTTTACCTCATAAGTTTACTTTAGTTTATTTCATTATTGCAAAGTACTTGAGGGCTATTCTAGGGAAAACTGGCTCATTTGCACGTTACACATGAGGAAAAGCACGAAAACACCCATGCAGCCCGAGCGTTCGCCGAACCGGACTACCAGCGTTCTGCAACGTTATCGCCCGACCGTTGGTGGGCCTTCTTGTTTCACAAGAGCAGCGTACGATAAACTTATTTCGCATACATTTATGGATATGTACACTGCGAAAAGAAAAAAAAGGGACAGTTTTATATATCCCGTTCTACTGGGCCGATTGACGAAATTCAAATTGCGTTTTCCATGTCTCGAAAGCGCAAATTAGGATATATTTTACATATTATATATATAATATATATATATATTAATATATATATATATATATATATATATTTTACATATATATATATATATATAATATATATATATATATTGCTTTGTTCTAACATAGATATTTTGACACAAAATCGGAACTTGTTTTGAAATGACATGCAAATTTTGTTTTCATATTTCGATTCTACGTCTAAAATTATGCCTAGATATTAAACTTTGTAATTTTTGGTGAGAAATGAAAAAATTTATCTTGGCGAATTTTTTCAGTTTGCGCCAAGAATAATTCACTTGGAGAACTTCATAATTTATAGCAACCTATTTTCCTTTCCTTTTCCTTCATTTTCCTCGAGCGGAAAGTCAACGTTCATACTTTCAAATAATTTTAACAAATTACCTAAACCTCATTTTCGTTATTATCGCTTTTAATAAATAAGCCAAATTTCAAAACGCGTCAAAATGTAAACTCACGTATATCTTAGGAAATTTTGAATAATAAAAACTGTAATTTTTTTTTGCAAGTGTGCTTAGAAATACATATACTTTAAAATGATGGTAAAAATTTTATAGGTTATAATTAAGAATTGTTTTTAAAAAATTAATTGAAAATACAGGTTTAAAAAATAAATCATAAAAAATAATCGAAATTTATTTGGAATGAACCTACATTTTCAAATATGAAAGTAAGAATCAAATAAGTTTAATTAAGAAGGAGATATTAATAAATATATATATCAAATTCAATTAACATTAAGGAGCTAAAATTTTGAGAGCTAATTTTCAAAAAACTACTCGAGCGATTTTTACAATACTTGGCAGTTTGGCATAATTTGAGTCGTAGAATCGAAAGGGGGGGGGGGGGGGGGGGGGGTGGGGGGGGGGGGGGGGGGGGGGGGGGGGGGGGGGGGGGGGGGGGTTGGGCATGGAAAAAAATTGGCATATCATTTCAGAAAAAGTCCGATTTTATGTCAAAATACCTATATTAGAAGAATGCTATATATAAATCTAATACATATCCTAAGTCGCGCTAAGCTATATCCTAAGACAAACGCATGTTGTATTTCGACAACTGGCCCAGTAGAACGGGCGATATAGAACTGCCTCTTTTTTTCTTTGCGCAGTGTACGTTTATAAATCCTTGGTTAAAATTTTAATAAGAGTACAATGTTTAATTCAGTCACTTCTCTAAGGATTTTCGCCTTGCCGACCAACTTCAGCGCTCTGGATCGCAAAAATTAATGAACGCAGACAGCTGCACGTAACATTCACTAGTAGAGAAGGATGTTTCAATATCTAGACACAATTTCAATCTATTTGAGTTGATGCATCTTATCATTACCGAACAATCTCCACAGATTCACATAAAATGATACAAATTCATATATACATAATTTTACAGAAAGTAATTATTAGTATGCTATTACTTACTTTATAGAACGCATCTTTCAGACACATTTCATGACTGCTCAAAGCGCTTTTAAAGTGTTGACATATTCCACTGTTTTTATTCTGCACAAGTCGCCAACTGCTACTAGTAGTCATGTGGATTAATCGCCAAACACTAATCCCTTGTTTGAATCTGGGAAATAAATAGGTTACATTGCCCTTTCGTGGGTTTTTCCGTGTCCAATATAAATATGAGTAAGCTTCCTTTAGAAATGTTGTCCACAGAAGTATCTCTTCCCTTAGGGAGATAATTCTAGTGTGTTTTGCCGTAATCAAAGGAATTCAAATCCATTAGAAAGTCTCCACGAAGGCTTCCATTTTTCGTGCCAGATGGTCTTCACGTGCTTTGCAGTAACTGATTAAACAATCATATGACGTTAAATAGTTTTTCTTACAGATTTCTTAACTTACATTCAGGACGCACGATGGACGTGCCTGGTTGGTACAGTGTTAATTTATAAGAAAGGGGCTCAGTAGAAAGCTGTGAGGAATTACGTGGCAATGTAAAAATTAAAGATTTCTTTTACTTGGATTTCGTAAGTTAAATTTAATCGCCACATCTGAAACCTAGCTCTACACGTATTTCAAAACTAACAAACTTAATCTCCAAATCTATAACGTGCAGATGATTGACTCTCAGATACTTGTCGCCAAAGCATATATCATAACCACTTTAACAAATCAGGGGCTAAATATTATTTCTTTATTGATAAAACTGTTAAAGTATTTTAAAATCCATATTTGTATTAAGGTTTAAGAGGATGTATATCAATAAGTTAAACATGAAAACAGATCGAAAAAATGCACTGCCTTCAGATAGTAACTTTGCAGCCCCTCGCATTTTTTAACCTCTGGGAAGTACATTAGAATTATATATAATGGCCTCTATGCATGTATGCTCAAATTGCCACACGATAGAAAAAGGGTTTTAGATCTCATCGTATTTATATACACTGCTGGCTCAAAATACAGGTAATTTTCATAATTGGCCTGAACAAATTTCAATGTCACTTGGTATGAATATGTGTTGATGTGATAGAAAATATGTACTGTTGAACAGTCGTGGTGCACATGATGACCATGCGGAAGGCTCATTGAAGTAGGAAGGTTTAAATGAGAGATTGTAAGCTCAAACAAAAAAGGAAGCTAATAGGGAAAATGGTCCTTTTTTAACAGCCAAATCTTTGCACTTAAACCCTAGAGACGCTTATGGGAAAACAAC